TTCGAGTAGTACAGAGGAAAGGATCCGTGCTGTGGTGCTGAAGCTGAAGGGTCTCTTGCCATTTTCTTTCCTGTTGGTAAGATGTCTGGGGTGCTGCTCCTGCCACCTTCTGGACCATTTTTTGGGACACATGCAATACATCAAATAAAGAAGAAAAGAGAAAAAGAAAACAGAGAGAGGGTGATGTGTATTTCCTGCCTGTTCCTTAAAAGGGAGAAGTTAAAGATTTTAAGAGAGAGAGTCTTTGAAGATAACAACAATAAAATTTTCATTAAAAAAAAACCTCACATTATGGAAGACAAGGAAGATATGAGTCAAAAAAAATACATATATTAAAAAAAATACTTCTAAAATGTGAACTTTGTAGCCCTAACCTCCTCATGAAGGCTATTCCACAGCCCTACTTCAAATGCCATATCCCCTTTCTTTATCAAGCTGGATTTTGAAATGGCAATAAATGATACGTACTAGGACCTTTTAGTGGCTGGAAGGCACATGCTGGGATAAAAGATCACGCATCTTGGAGGAAGAGGTTTGAGGGTGTCTCAAATAGCTGATAATCGCTTATTATCAATTTTGTAAGAAACATCTAGCCAGTGTAACGCTACAGGGTAAAAATGCAGCCAGTTTTTCTTTTTTCTCTCTGACATGATGAAACCAGGAGAAGAAATATTTGATCAAAATGAAGGTAAAGACCATTTAATCTCAATTTTTTCTGTATTTAACTGCAGGTAATTTGGTGACATGCACTCATAGATGTTTTTTTTTTCCAGCTCAGCATTTTAGCAAGCTCACTGCTTGGAAAGATCTGAGAGAAATCAAAAGAAAGCTATTAAAAATATAATTTGTGTTAAAGGAAGTCTCTTTATTTCACAAATATAATACTAAGAGGACATGTTAAGGCTACAAGTATTAGAAGATTCCCGATGTCACCAGGACTAATGTGGAAAACTGTGCTGAAATAAAATGATGCAGAAGTAATGCAGTGAGTAGAGAAAGATCAGAAGGATCCAAGGATCAGGGCGTACACATCCATGATCTGACGGACCCATATTCCAGAGCCAGGAAACTTGTCCTCACCATCACCACCACCTCCACAGGCAACCTCATCCAACACAGGTTAGCTGCAGAGAGCCTACTGGTCATGATCCAATGTGACCCAGTGTTAATTCCCTGGTGAAAGCCACCCAGTCAGTCCAGTAATGCCTCAAAACCTCAAGGTTTATATGAACAAGCTCCACTCTGAATGGGAACCCAGGAACTAGGCCGGTAATAACAGACCTCAGGAAAAGAAAAAGTTTTGACCAAAGAGAGAGCGGTGAACAGGGACTCACCCCGTTTGCCTGCTCGTTTTCTCTCCCTGCAGGTTTTTGGGAAAATGTCGAACACGCTTCCTGTAAAACTATGTAGTATTTATTACAGCCTTTAGTTTTTGATGGCTGGGGTCATGTAGCCTGCTGTCTATTTATCCTAGAGGTCATTTACTACTGGTTTTTGGGGCCAGGAGAGGAAGAAGGGAACGAAATCTAAGATGCAGGAACTAAATTGGTAGCAAATATATAGCTTCCAACTTGTCCATTGGCCGTGATGCATTTTTCAAGCGCTGTGCTCCAAGATGCGGGGACGGCTTGCCTCTGAAATAATATTTCAACAGTGGTTACAGATGCAAAACCGGTGCCATCTCTCAGTTTGGGCTGCTCCCACCAAAGTGCAGCATAAGGGATTTTAATTTTATTCCTGGGAAGATATTATGCTTTGCTGAGAAGGGGTGGTGATCATAAGGTTAAGAGAGGCATACTCATAACCAAAGGGTTGCATGTTTTAATTTCCAGGCTGAATAGCATAGGGTATGCCATTGCAATGCCTTTAAGTCAGCCCCTAGTCCAGTGCCCTACTGCAAACCTTGTCATCGATCAGATACCAAGTAAATACCGAGCTCCAAACTGCCAATACAATAGTGCAACAATACACAGCTTTCAGCTTTTCATGTATTTTTTCAACCAGACCTTTGCTGGACCCGTGGGATGTTAATGTGCCTGTCTCTAAAGCATGTTGAGTCAGCTTCTGTTGTTCAAATGTGCTAAAGTAGACATGACAGTGAACACACAAAGGTTCAGACATTTTTAACTATGCATATTGGAGACATCACTCCCTGGTCAATCAGTGGCATGGAGTCTGTTGACATCAATCTCTGAGCTCCCACCAAAGTATAGGTACCTGGTACCAGGTACTATAACCCAGAGAAGAACCCAAAAAAACTGAGTCAAGTCAACCTGAGTTGTGTCAAGTAGGTACAAGTACTGAAATTAGAGGATAGAACCAAAGTATCGATCCTATCATGCTAGTGTCAGTCTGACAGATAGATGCTATCGATTTTTGGATGGCTTCACCACCTCTACTGAATTCACTACAGGCCCGTGGTTGCACTTGGCCATTCCTTGAGGGCGTTGCTGGAAAAAAAAGCACACGTAAGCTCAAATCCCCCCAAAATGGATAAAAACAGGCATCAGTGCATGCTTCGAGGTCGCCCAAAGAGGCCTGAAACTGAGCTGCAAAAGTTATACAAACAAATTGAGAAACACACCTTATGTTAATGAGAGATCATTTTCTACCGCTGCAATCATTCAGGCCAGCCATTCAGAAGAAGGATTCGCATTAAAGTTCGAGATCAATGCCTCAAAGATATTTACACGAGGGGTGCTGAACGATTGTTCCACTGCAGCTAAACTCTCCAAAAGATGACTCTGACCATCTCATTTTCATTTAAATGGCTTAGCGCAGTCCCATTTGCTCTCTGCATTCCTACAGCCAGACAGGCTCACTAAAAACCAATGAGCTGAAGAAAATAGGAAAGCCTCGTTGTAGTCTTATACAAACAGCATATGGTTTGCACCATGCCGCTGCACACAGCAGCACTCCTTAAACTTTATTTGCTCCTCGGTATCAAGTTGTCCTCTTGCCATCTGTGCAATCATGAAGTTTCACACTCTCGAAGTTTCTTTTGTCAAAGCACCTTCAAGAGAACACGAGCAATATTCAGGTGTCACAACTGAGTGTTTCCTACACGCGCAACTTGATTTTATTAGTATTATTCTAAGGACCGTGGGCATTACTCTGTAATAATCATGTCAGCTTGCATTCTGTAGCTCCTGAACACATTACCAGCTATTTGTCTGTTGATTTTCCGAGCATATGCGAGACACACAGTGAGCCTGTGCCATGTATTAAACTGCAAATCCATTATCTCAGATGCCCCCCTCGGGAATCAAATATGGCAACCCCGAATTTCCATAAATTCTCCACTGATTGCTCGTCTGTCTTCACTTAGTTGTCAGCGGCATCTGAACATCATTTGGTTGTTTTGTTTTTATTAAGGAGGGAAAAATGGCTCTCGAGATCTCAAAGAAAAGAGAGATAAAGTCGGGATATGTCTGATCATAACATCAGGCTCTGATCAGTAGCCATGCACGTAGCTGACAGGATGTTGCAGATGTTTAAAAGCCCCCCCACTCCCCGTTTTCCCCCACGGCAAGATGAAATTAAAGGCCTATTTATAAACACCTGTCACACAGCCCAGATAAACCAAGGTTCTGTGGGTGTTTGTACTCCCTCATATTTTATTGACACCCTGGAAGAAGAACAATGGCATGAAGGCCGATGGTGCTAGAGCCATAACAGGGTCTGCAGAGAGCCCCAGCCATCATGCTGATGGTTTGTCCTCCTGAGGGCACATAATAGTTATTCTCGTGAGAGGGAAGACTGCGATATAACTAGGGACACCCTTTCTTTATCAAATGCCCTCTAAACAAGGTGTGTAAAAAATAAGAATCGGCTCGACAAAGACTAAGTCCACTGGACGGAATTTAGAGCAAGTGAAGGAGACCATGATTTTTACAGCTTTTTTTTTTACTGATAAAGACCCCCATGGCCCTTCATACTACACCAAAGCAATTAAGTAACTGATAACTGGCACTAAAGTTCCTTTTTTTTTCACTACAGGTTATAAAATTTTCCGTTTTGGCACTACGGCTGAAAAAAGGGGGGTTTCTCTGAATTAATAAAAACTTTCAGTTTTATAATTACAGGACTGTCTGGGAAATGACTTACAAGAACACTTGCTGTAATTTTATACACTAATTCTTACAGTTTAAGTCCAAAGAGTCATGCTGACTGAATTCCTTCTTCACAGCGGGCAGCATTTCTTTAGAAAAACTGTGACAAAATTGCTATTTTTCTTATATTATATGTGTGATATATAAAACATGAAGTTCGCAGGGATTAAATGTTTACTTAAACTTGAGATCAAAGGTGGCTGCATGTGGCCCACGACGTAAACTGAGTTTGACACCCGTGTTCTAAACATTTACTGCATCAGAGTGAGACTGACACGGGTGCCTGTTGCACTGAGCCCTGCCAAGGAGTGTTGTTACTCAGCTACTTCAGGATTATTTGGCAAATCAAGCAAGAGTCAGCAAGTCTTTTTGGCTGGATCCACTTGACACCATCAGAAGACACGATGCCAGTAACTTGAGGTGATTCAGTTCACTTTCTGAAACTTCAAAACACAACTATGAAGCGTGATCTGTTTAACCCTCTATGCTCGTTTGTCAGATTGAAGAAGTCATTTGCCACCTTCGTTTCATATAATTTCCTTTTATCCATTTGCATTTTTTGTTTTATTACTCATAATTATTCCTGAAAAATTCTCACATTTTGATATTAAGCAGCCTGCCAAACCAAGAACAAAATATCAGCATCAAAGCTTACATCTTCAAGATTACTGATCACTGTCCCTGCTTTGGCAATTCAGCTGGCTTATTTCACATTTTAGGCATGTTGCTGCCCTCTACCTGCCACAAGACTGTACTGTACCCTCTATGTTTTTGATTAAAAAAATAAAATCAAGCTGCAACAGGCTTGTATCTCTTGTGAGCATCATCATCATAATGTTATATCGAAAGAAGACATTTTTCAAAAACAGGAAACAGTTTCACATAAACTGATACGAATATAAAATTTTATTACAACAGAAGTAGTAAATGGTGAATATGAAATGAAGCTCTATCAATAGGAAGGGTAAAGTATGCAAAATTGATATTTGTGATGGTTTGGAATGAACTCTTCTAAAATACAGATGGTTTTCGGTAAGATGTGGATGACAAATCTGACAACCACATTACAGTAAGACAGTAAAATTATTGTAAAGTAACTATTTGAAGTTTTTTGATTGGACTTAAAAGCTTCCATTACTGTAACGATTTCTGACTACAGCTATACATTTAAACAACACAAATGACACTTGTGACATTGCATAAAGCCTGAAAAAAAAACAAAGAGAAACTACAGCAGGGGATGATCCTTGGTTTTGTGCATGTTTTCCTGAACACGTCAAAAAAACGTGGGTGAGGTTTGTTAAATTTGCATAAGGTGTCATTGGGTGGCACCACAGAACACAAATTCACATTTTAATTCTTCGTCTCGCTAATGAAACACCTATATACAACAAGATGAGGTGCCTTATTTATGACTGCCACTAAATACTACGTTTTGTGGGCTGCAGAATAAATATGTTGGACATCCAAAAGCTGCAAAGTTACTTGGTTCAGTCACTTTCTGAGGAGTCACTTGAGCTGGAAGAGGAAGAAGACTCGTGTTTCCTTTTCTTCTCTCTTTTTTTGTGATGCTTCCCGTGCTCTTTTTTGTTCTTTTTGCTTTTCTTCTTTTGGCTTTTTATTTTCTTTTTCTTCTTTCTACGCTCCTCATCAGAGGAAGAGCGCGACCTGCTGCGCTTCTTTTTCTTTTTTGAAAGCTCCTCCTCGTCGCTCGATGATGAATCAGATCTAAGTAAATACAAAAAGTATTAAAAGACAAAAACAAATCAAACAACTCAGTTTATCTATGAAGGTAAACACACTTTCATTTCAGAAAAGCGGGCAAATAAACTTCAAAGGTAATAAATATATACTGAGTCTGACTTATGCAAGTAGTGCAAGTAAATACTCAGGCACAATAAATACAAGGATGACAGCAGTGGAGTACAAGTGTGTTACAACACTCTCATAGCTCTATCTTAATACATCAACTCATATAATATGAACATTAAACATGTGCAAACAAGTAGACTGGGACATCAAAAATATTTAGGTTACCTCTTTCTTGACTTTCTGTCTTTGCTCTTCTTCCGTTTTCGTCTTCTTTTTCTATCATCATCGCTGTCATGGGAACCTACCATGCAAAACCAGCACCTTTAATCTCATAACTAAGAGGCCTCATCAAAAATAAATAAATACAAATAAAGAACTAATAAAATAACTGCTGTCCAATTGCAAAGATCCACACTTTTGATTTTAATCAGGCTCCAGCTTGTATTGATGTTGATTGGATGCTGAATTATGTAAAACTGCTGTATTTATTGCAAATTGCCTTGCAGTAAATAATTGCATATTTTAAAAGCTTACAGAAAACAAGGGCAGGTGCATCAATTCTGACCTTTGCGATGCTGGCCGCTTCGTTTCTCGCCGCTTTGAACCTGAGGTTCATCATCTTCACTCTCCTCGCTGCTAGTGCTGCTCACATCCAGAACAATGTCCTTATGAGGGTCCACTTTAACAAAATTTCGGCACTCAAATGTTAAATGGCCCGCTGAAAGATGAAAGTCAGAGAGAGCGGTAAAGAGCGGTGAGGACACTTTTTAATTAACATCTCTGAACCTCAACCTTGAAACTCATAAGAGGACATGCAAATAAGTAAAAAAA